GAGGAGCCAGCTGAGGTGGCTCGGGCATCTGTTTCGGATGCCTCCTAGGCGCCTTCCTAGGGAGGTGTTCCGGGCATGTCCAACCGGGAGGAGGCCCCGGGGAAGACCCAGGACACGCTGGAGGGACTATGTCTCTTGGCTGGCCTGGGAACACCTCGGCATTCCCCCGGAGGAGCTGGAGGAAGTGTCTGGAGAGAGGGAAGTCTGGGCATCTTTGCTTAGACTGCTGCCCCTGCGACCCGGTTCCGGATAAGTGGAGGAAAATGGATGGATGGATGGATGACTCATAGGACTAAACTGCACATAAAGTAACTGTAAAACTACATCTCAGCCAGCTACAACGGCATCAATAACAATTTATTCATGGAATATGTATTTATGTAATATGTGATAATATCAGATTAGTCTCAGGGGTGGAAACTTGTGATGTTCGGAAAGAAGTTAGTTACCAAGGTGAAAAAGTAATAAAGCAATTATTTTATTGGTTCTTGTGGTCAGTTGGCCTACTGACCAAATTCTATTACTGTAAAGTGGCATAATGTAAAAAACAGAAGAGACAGCGAGAGCGAGAGAGAGAGGGAGAGAGAGCGAGGGAAAATGAGGGCGAGGTTATAAGGTGTGTATGTCACAGTCAAAGCACAAATGTGTTTCCACAGCAGAAAGATACACCAGGCACCAAAGCCCCTCTGAAGCAGTGAGTATATAATTTTACCTTCAGTTAAACCACAAGTGGCTGTGTCTGTGCAATTTTTATAGCTCTAAACACAAATGTACAGTTTTAAGTGTTGATTGTTTTTGTGTGTGGATGTAAAAATGATTAGCTGACTTTTTAACTGACCCATTTCCAGTGATACTGATGATTTCAGTGTCACACGAATAATAACAAATTGTAGTCCTTTGATAAATGGCCCTTAACTGTGATTATACCGAACATGTGTATACAGGGGAAGCTCTGCTCGGGCTACTGCCCCTGCGACCCGATCTTGGAGGAAGTGGATGAAGATGGATGGATGGATGGATGTGTATACAACAGTTTTCTTGGTGTTAATACAGAGTGACCACTAATAAGCACTGGGTGGACAGACATACACACTGGCACTGGTTGCTGACTTGCATATAGAGTTTAACTGCCTCAGAAGACATATCCTGTATCTATGCATGTCTGTTTATGTATGTACACTATACAATGTGCATTTTTACGTGATCTCTTGTGAATGTGTTCCTATGTATTTTTTTCATTTGTTCTACCTAGACAGCACTTGTCCATCATGACCATCTCCTTCAGTTTAAGCTGTGATCGTAGGATCATAGGAAATCCATCAGAGTGCGTCACCTCAGTGTGTGTACAGTACACTCCCCCACTGAGTTCTCCTCTCTCACTTTTTCTGTCCAACCCCTCACTGTGTCATCACAGGGCTCATGGAGCTGGGAGACATAGGTAGTGGCTGTGAAGATGAAAACTGTGGCCCTGCATCAGGCTTCTCACAGGACTGCTCCAACCAAGAGTGCCAGTTGGAATCTCAGTTTGGATTGATTGAGTTAGGTGGGTATAAAACAGAAATGGTAATAAATAATAATGCATGATATTTTAGAAATGAAACATAAATAACAACTGAAGGAAATGATGGTGTCTGCACAGGAGACTTTTTCCTCTGACCTTTAAAATGAAAGGAGTAGTTCTAGTAGTAGGACAGAGTAGTTCTGTCCAGAGGAAACCAAATCTGCCCACCAGTACCTCTAAAGCTCATTAGTAGACATATTTGTTTGTTTAGCATGTAACCAATATGAAACCACATGTAGTTTTGTTGCACAGGGTGAATAGTTGTTGCCATTTTTTGACAAACAACTTAGTGTTTCACCCTGTTTGCAGTCTTTGTGTTAAGCTAATCATTTTGATTGTATTGCTTCTGACTTACTGAATTTATTGATAAAAAAATTAATGGGCAAATTTTCCAAAATGTTCATTAATTAATATATTATATTAAGTAAAGGCTTGTACTCATATACAATAGTATGTTACAAAGCAACATATCAGAACTTAAAATCCAAAACTAGAAAATATCTTCTGGACAGGTACAAGAGGAGTATCAATCTTCTTATCTAACTCTCAAAAATAAACTGCACCTTTAGTATTTCACAATCAAACTATGCAATAATCATGAATGCATTGTGCACCGTTGTGACTTAACCCTTTATCGGGCAAAGAACCACACTGGGTAACTTCTGTGGGCATCCTAGATGGTTATGAATGTTTTCAGGAAATAAGCAGTATTTCATTGAGTGCCCTAGATTTAACATTATTTCCGTGAAGTAAAATTCAAAATTTTTTATTCTTCATGTTCAGTTCTTTGCCAACACATTCTTGAAATAAATACAAAGTGATTCTGATCAAAACATATCAATATTTAATTTTCCAGTGTGTGTGACTGTGATTTACATTCCACTGATGCTCTTCGGCCTTCTTGGAAATATACTAACAATTCTGGTGGTTTGGCTCCGTCCTCACATGAGAAGCTCCACCTACCTCTACCTGAGCAGTATGGCTATCAGTGATCTGTTGATACTCCTACTTCTCCCTCTGGATCTATATAAGGTGCACGCCCCCATTCACGCACACAAAGTCCACTTTTTATTTAATGCTCATTTTTGTACTGCACTATCTGGTTTGACCAGATAGTGATGTTTTGTCTGAAGATGCTTCCTATTGAGAACAGTGGTGTGCAGCTACAATGGATTAAACAAGTCATTGTTGCCTTTCCCTCAGAATCCCTGCAGCAAAATTAAGTTTTCTTCTCTTACACTCAGGCTTCATGTCATGCACAGAGTATTTAGGCTATATGTCATTCTTCTATCATTTCCTCTGTTGAACAACAACTGAAGATCAAATGATATTTAAGTGTATCTGGTTACAGGCTATTTCCTTTATAGCTGTTATTGTGACCTCACCAAACAGTAGAGACAGTGCTGTTAACATCATTTTCAGTCAACAAGCTGTGCAGATGCATTAACATCAATGGCTTTTCCCCTTTTTGTACAAATTTTCTGTCTGCATTTTTCTTGCCCTCTAAGATGATGCCTCTATTCTAAAGTTCACCTGCCAGACCTATTTGAGTCAAAAAAGTAGAAGCGTTTGCTTGATGTATGAAGCTCAAAAACAAAAATGTCTAAGGATCAACAAAGTCATCAGAATTCAAAAATTGGTTTGTAAATTAAGAATGTGCATCTTCAAACAAGACCCATGCACACCTGATTGTGACAGTTGTGTTTCCATGAAGTGGAATGAATGTGAAAATGAAGATGTTTTCTTGATAAACCATTGTTCTGTCTCTCCCAGCTCTGGAGGCCCGCACCCTGGCCCTTAGGAGACCTTGCTTGTAAGCTTACCATGTTCCTCTCAGAATGCTGCACCTTCTGCACCATACTCCACATCACCTTCCTCTCCCTGGAGAGGTATCTGGCAGTCTGCTGGCCAATCACTGCCAAGACCATGGTTACACGGCGCAGAACTAGGGCTCTTATTGGCTGCCTCTGGCTTGGTGCAATCATCAGCGCAGCACCAGTGTTGGTCATGGTTGGAGTAGATGAAGTTGAAGGAGAGGATCTAGGGCTCAGTGGATGGAGGGAAGACATTGGCTGGACAGGCAGGGAAGGAGAACGGGGAGGATTTATGATGGGAGGACGTGAAGGAGGAAGTGGACATGTGGCCTTGATGAATGGAGGTTTGGAAGGAATAAAGTGGGATGAAAATGGAACAAAAGTATGGGGTGAAATAGTTGGGCAGTTAAAATGGTCCAAAGAGAATAGTGGGAGAAATCAAGTAATAGGAGAAATAGATGAAAGCAAACAAGGACATGGAGGAGAATTGAAAGATGGAAAGCAAGCAGATGAGGATGAAGATGAAGAAGTAGGAATAACAGACATTGACAGAACGTGGCAAAAAAAATTGAAAGAAGATGAGGAAGGAGCAAGAGAGGAAGGTGTTGATGGAAGTCAAAGCAAAAAGATTGACAGGAGAGAGTGCCGCTGCACCCATTATGCTGTCACCTCTGGTCTTCTGTCAGCCATGACGATTGTCTCCAACTTGTACTTCCTGGTACCATTCTGCATCCTGGGACTGGTCTACAGCCTGATTGGACGGACACTGTGGCTCCGTCCACAAAGCAGCCGTAAAGACCAGAGTCAGCGGCACACTGTCAAAATGCTGGGTAGGAAACACACGCTGTCTGACACACACAGCCTCGGGTACTTGATTGCTGTAACTGGCATATAGTTAATTAAATTAGCTGTCAAACATCAGTGGCTAGTGATTATTTGATGTAATTTCATTTTAAACTGCGTGAATACCTCTTCTCAAAGTGTGCATATACTATACAAACAAACCAAAGTAATAAGTGCATTTACAAAGGACTGGCAGTTTAACATATTGTTGGACTGCTTTATTTCTTATGTAACTGCTTTAGTATGTTAGTAGCTTCTGTTAGCTGCTAGTCAGGTCATACTACAATTAATTTTTGTTTCCAAAGTTAGTAAAATGCTTTTGAGTGGGTGGCACTAGCTATTTTAGTAACTGTCTAATGACTAGTTTACTGAAGACTGTTAAACTATTTTTTAAAGAGGCATTAACTAAGACTGTCTGATAAATAAAGTGAAAATGGGACAGGATGTGATGTCTTTCAGCTGTTCTTCTGGATATGTAAGCATTTAAAGCTAACCTAATATTAGCCAGCTAGTATGGTCATGATTTTACCTTTGAATTGAATTAACATGATTTTAATTTGGGAGCAATTTGAGCTTTGTGTAGCATTAGCAGTAACCAGAGTGTTCTACTGGATTGACAAATGCATTTATTATTCAGCTAACGCTAACTTCAGAATGGAGGCTGCATTTTGTACAATAGTTCATGTCATAGCTCAACACATTCTCATTCCCAGGGCATCAAATACAGACATTTTGTCAAGTACCTTTTGCGTCTCATACTAACGCTAAAGGGTGCCTTTGACATCCGTATAAGATGCTTGGGGTTTTCATTACAGAGCAGTGTTAGCCCACTTCCGTCACTACACAAAAACAATGTGGCTATGTTAAGGAAAATATCATTGCTTGGCTTAAAACACTCACTGACTGAAAAACACTTCATGGGAGGTGAACTCTGCTATCCTGTGGGAAGGTTCAGTGTTTGTTTGACCCGCCATCCACCCCTGCCACTTCCTAGCATGGACATTCTCCCTTCCCTACTACGACCTCTTGCTCTGGTTGCCAAATACTGACACCAGTGTATATTCTACTGAAAACTCTGTGCATCTCATATGTTTCCCACTTTTAGGAAACAGAACGGGAGTGCCAAAAAGCAGTAAGAAGTGGTTTAGGGTGTAAATCTCATTAGATCCTCTAGCAGCTGAAAAGAAATTAGGCATAGTAGATTTATGTCTTAATGATGCAACCTGATTTAGAAAAGCACTGGTTTGAATCTAGTTGGTAGTTATTAAGAACTTTACACAAACCTAATACAGAATTCTCATCTGTGTTTAATAGTGGAATGACTTTCATTCAGTTAGTGATGATTTTAATGTCCTCCTCCTGTGTTTTTCTCCCCACCCTGGCTCTCTGTCTCTGTATCATCTCCAGGAGTGATTGTCTTGGCGTTTGTCCTGTGCTGGCTGCCCTTTCATGTTGGTCGGACCATATTCTCTTTTTCTCTGAGCACCGCTATTGACACACAGGAAACTTACATGAACATACACTCACACTTAGGAAATGACACCCTCTCTGATAACAGAGAAGTCAACATACACACTGTTAGCAAACCCATGCACTTCACAACTCTCTCCAAGAGTGAACACACTGACACAAACAGCAGTGAAATATTCTGTGACATCTGTGCAAAGACCAGAGTCAAACTCAATACACACACTGATGCAGACACAAAAGGTGAAATTCACACTGACGGGGGCACACATTCTGGCAATATGAGCACAGACCAGATTATATCACACACTAGAGGGCAACATGCAAACACCGTTACAAGCATACCTTCTCACACATCTGCTGTGATGCTCACCGACCTATATGCTGATAGCACGCACAATGACACACGCTTCAACAATACATACACAGACCCTGATGCCCTTTTTTTCTACTACCTGTCTCAGTATTTCAATCTAGTGTCCTCTGTCCTCTTCTACCTCAGTGCTGCTGTCAATCCTTTACTGTACAACCTGATGTCTGCCAGATATAGACATGCTGTACACAGCCTCATGCACACACACTGTCACACACAGTCTCATCAAGTGCACACAACACTCACAGGGCGGCACTCCACGACCACCTTGTAAGGGCAAAATGTAATATGTGCAGAAATGGGTGCACACAGAGCATGAAAAAAGAAAGGATCGGTTAAACACACTGCAGCTTTTTTAAATAAAGCAACATCTTGGTACAGGTAAATAAAAAAGCTGGTGGTTGTTAGTGGTACTGCAAAAGCCATGGCCATGCAACATACAAACACATTCAGTTAGAGTATAATGAGATTGTATTGAGTTAAAAGAATCTAATGCATACATTGATGAGGACATTTCTGTTGTGTTCAATTAACTGATGCTTTTCTGCTGATGTTAGCAACATTACTCAGAAAACATGAATTAGTCCTGTTACACAGTCTATTACAAGACATGTCAGTGAACTTGAGAGTAACAGCAGGTTTTTGTTTTAACCCTTGCTTTTAGCACTACCCTGTTATTTATTTATTCTTGGCCCTGGACTGTGTCTTTAAAGCACAGTAGTCATTTTGACTTGTCTGACAAAAGGTCTAGCTAATAATTTTAATAATGGCTCCATTTACTGTAGCTGTACCAGTGGGGTCATTGCGTTATGCAGCCTGACAATCTGGCTTACATTTGCTATTTATGTTATTAGTTGTTCCTGTGTGCTATTGCTTGTCAAAATGTCAAGAAAAAGTTGACTCAGATGTAAAATCCAAAATGCAGTCTTTGTTTTAAGAACAAAGACTGTCAAAAATAAATTTGAGAGTTCAGCTGAAGCTAGTTAGCAATCTAATCAAAAAGGTATCATCCAAAATTGTGTTCTTTAGTACAAAATGCCCTCTTTGTGTTTCCCTGGTCAGTGTTAAGCCATAGCAAGTTAGGTTTACTGGACAAAACACCCACACAACCGCCAGGACAAACTCACTTGATTTGGCTAATTCTGACAACTGAAACCCCATGATAGCTTCTGAGCGTTGCCCTTTTCTAGTAAGTTCATATATCCTTCGTTTCTTACACTGTATTAATAGCAGAAGATGCTGTGCTTTAACACATATAGTATGTGAATATATTAGGATTAGGAAAATATAGAAAACATGAGCTAAAACTGACCATTTGTATAAACATGCAACATTGCAGTTATTTCAGCTCAGTGAAAATATTTGAACTTAATATTTTTTACAGTGGGGCTAAGAAAACTCTGAAGAGCTGTGTATTTTAAATGTGGAACCTTCCACAATATGTATATTTATACACAATAACAGTGGCTTGCTCAAAATATGCATGCACACTCACAGATGCACATGCACGTACACACACAGACAAACAGAACAGGGCTATCATTTTGATTCATGTAGTTTCATACAGGCTGATGTGTTCTGATGTAATATATATTGTATTATGTGTACTGTGGTGTCAGATAATGATATAAATTATAAATGCCTTTATCTGATTCACAGTTGAGGTTTTATCACATCTGTGAAGGAGGCTGTGTTTTCACCCCTGTTAGTCAGCAGGACACAGTGAACAATAGATTTCCTGGAGTGTGGTGGACACACTGGCCTCAAGCTACAGGACGATTGATTTGATTGTGCTGGTGATCCAGGTCATTTTTGCCATAAAATTAGGTCTTTTTTTTTTTAAGAAATACGTATGGTATATTTGAAATAGACTCCAAATCATATGAGTATAAAAATGATTTTTTTTTAATCTGTAGGTTACTCAGACTGTACAATATAAATAAATATCTCCTTTGTTTTTGATATTATGGTTGTAATGTCTCACATTTTGTTTCGTTGGCAGTGGAGCTCACATTATAGTTACTATATGACTGTTATTACCTCACACTTTGTAACATGCCGTTAACATAACTGGAGGACCTACCATATTTGTGTAATGCTTAGAGTCTTTTCAACATGAAATCATTCTGTAAAACTGTTTTCTGTACAATCTTTGGTTATATTTATTTACTGCTGCAGGAATAAACAACTTACAGTAGTGAGATAAGACTCAGTATCTTGTACAGAAATCAGAGAGCAAAACATTTCATCCTGGAAAATGAATTCCCGTGTCTGGTCATATGTGATTCAGGTGAGCTTCACCTAAAAAGTTGTAATGTCATTGCTCTTAAGTGCAAACCTAACCCCATCCTAACACCAGTTCAGGGGCAGGGGTAGTATGGGGTGGCTCAGCAGATATAAAAGTAAATGAAAATAAAAATTGTGGCTCAAATTGCTCAGTGGCCAACAGGAAGACTGGCTGTGAGGCAGCTGAGAGAGTTCACCACCACGCTGTAACTCTCTAGCCATGCAGGCCCGGTTCCACCCTGGCCTCTCTGCTCTCCTTAAACTCCTCTTGGACCCATCACCCCCTTGTTATATTTACCATCTTCAAAACCTGATTGGAGGTGACACAGCAGCGCAGTAGTTAGTGCTGTTGCCTCACAGCAAGAAGGTTCTGGAGTGAGAGCCTGGGCCAACCCGGGGCCTTTCTGTGTGGAGTTTGCATGTTCTCTCTGTTCCTGCATGGGTTCTCTCAGGGTACTCCGCTTCCTTCCACAGTTCAAAGACATGCAGCTTAGGTTGACTGGCGACTCTAAATTGCCCATACGAGTGAGTGTGAGTGTGTGTGGTTGTTTGTCTACATGTCAGCCCTGTGATAGACTGGTGACCTGTTCAGGGTGCACTCCGCTTCTTGGCCAATGTCAGCTGGGATTGGCTGCAGCCCCTCTGCGACCCTATTGAGGAATAAGTGGTATAGATGATAGATGGAAAACCTGATGACCCAAACAGTACATTTTTCTCCTACATAGCTATCTGTATACAGTGCAGTGCTAATCAAAACCAGCATTACTTCCAAAGTGGGGCAGAGATCATACCATGTTACCTTGTGGGATTACAGGTTACCTTTAAACGGGACTAACTACCCCTATCTGCAATGCAGGAACAACATCGCTGTCCCTTTTTTGGTTTTCATATCTTTGTGATTGTATTGCATCTTGTTTCTCATTTTGTGGCTTATTAGTAGTCCCTAGTTTGATGAGCTTGCTAGGTAGCTAAAGGTGATCAAATCTGTTAGTAAAAGTGGTCATTTTAGACAATAAAATCAAAAATGACCAGCTGGAAATGACAAATCTACTTTTGTTTACCTGTTGTCTGGATCTAAAATCTGACAATTACAAAAAATCTCTATAAACAGCATTTTGCACAGCAACATTGACCAAGAGATGTTGGGCTGTAAAACCTGTACATTTACTCCTATAGGGAAGTAAAGTTGTTTCTGGTAAACTGGCTCTCCCACATATCACAGACACATTGAGCTGAGCAACTGCTGGACTAGTAAATCATTAAACTCCATGTAATGTTTTATAGCTCTTTTTCAACTTTAATAGCTTTAATAGCATCCTATAGAAAGCCTCAAACCCTCCTTTGCCATGAAATCATTGGCCTGTTTGAAGGCAAGAGCACGTTCTGTTACGGCAACATATATTAAAATTAAAGTCTTTCACATGCTTATTGGAAATGAACATATTTCTTTCCTCAAAAGTTGTCAGTTTGATAGCAGATATTCAGCAGCAAGAACATCAACAAGAGAGATTTTTCTTCCCAGCCTGCCCAGTAAAGTAACATGTTGCGAAACAAGTATTCATGCAATACTGGAGTTTTTGTTCTTTTGACCATCCCCCACTGCTGTGAAACGAACTACCTCTAAGAATCCAGTATTTGTAACTCTGCAGTACAGATCAGAGGGTACAGTAGGTGTTTTTTTCTTCCATCTTAAGGTTCTTAAAGTTTATGAGAAATGATCTATTACAGGATTTACTGTTTTTATATGTCTACTTTGTTTTTGCCATTAGTCTTTTTTGAGGACAAATCCAGAGACAAGCAGAGCAACATTTTATTAGGTTTCTTAAATTGACTGGTGCTGGCTACCACTCCCCAGTAAACATGAACTTTGATCATGTATTAACTCTCACATAGTTATATTAGCTAACTGAAACAAATCACACTGAGACAAAATACTTATTGCAGCCTCTTTTGCAAGAGTTCTGTACTGCGTATGGTGTGTATTCCTCATAATTTCTCAGTGCACTACACCCTTCTCTGTATCTTAGCCAGTATAAGTTAAGTGTACAGTGTTTAATTTAATGAATATACTTGGACTTTAATGACTCGTCTGCAGTGACTCAGCATGGGCAAGGTCAGATTTGCTGTTTTACCCCCTCAGACTGCAAAGGTGAGAGAGATCAACAACACAGTGGATATCCCAGATTTTGACATGATGGAATAAACGTTCTCAAATGTAAGATTCAACACCTAACTTTAAAACTGAAGATGAGGGTGAGTTGACATGAAGGTGCCTTATGTTGATTGTTGACTGGGTGGAGTAATGTATATTTATGATACAATGCTACTCCATTTGTGTCTAAAGCAAATGTTTCACAGTAGAAATGTTGTTTTCAAAGATGCCTTGACTTTTCTTGCAATTTCTTTTTATATTTTTTTCATTGTTAGTTTCTAGAAACAATATTCAGGAAAGTGCAATGACAACACCACCACAAATGATCAGTGCTGATTCAGCACCTCTTTGACAGTCTTGACAAAAACTTAATGTGTTAAGTTTAATAAAGGCAGGATACTTGACCAGATTATTCTATTTAATTATGTGTTTTCTAATAGTAAAAGCAACTGTGCAACTGCGAGGCTGATGCTTTAACACATTATAGTCCTATGACAACATGTGGTTAATGTTAGGTTGTGCTGTTGCTGAAAGGTATATGCAGTAGTGCATTACCAAATACATCATGCAGTTTTGTAATGTGCCAGCCAAATTATTTCCTGGCAATAGATATCTAAACCTCTTCCATTTACAAGATGGAATGAATTATTTCTACTAAATCTTCAAATTGGAAACTGCATAATTGACTGTGAAGTAAAAGCAAAATGTCTGCTCATTATACCAGCCATGATGACCTTGCTTAAGGAGAAGCTGTGGGTAACTCTGGAGGATTTGAGGGAGCAGGAATTCAAGCAGTTGAAATGGTTCCTCCATCAGGCGGACATCATGCACACAATCCTACCACATCTTGAAGTCTCATCAGCCATCCCTGCGGCCCAGCTGGAGAAGGCAGACAGACAGGACATCGTTGATCAGATGATACAGATCTATAGCCCTTATGGAGCTCTGGAGGTGACCAGAAAGATTTTAATAAAGATCAACAGAAATGATCTTGTGCAGCTCTTACCAGTCACCTCAGAACCTAAAGGTAGATTCTGGGAAGGTAAAGTTATAAGATTTGCAATAACTGTCGACCGCTTGTATTGAAGCTCATGTGACCTTCCTGTCTATCTTTCTCTTTATTGCAGTGGATATTAGTGATGTGGGGACTAGTCAAACTGAAGGTAAAGCTTTTATAAACTGGTGCTGCTGAGTTGATTTTCTTGTCATCACTGTCCATTTAATACATGTATTAAAATGATTAGGGGTTTATTTCAGTCTGTTTTACTAGATAATAGGGTGAGGGCAGCCCTTTTCTCTGTGTTGATATATTTTTAAAATTCCTCAAAAATAAGTGAATGACAAGGATTGGGGAGGGGTTTGAATCAGTGTCAAAGAAGAAACAGTCATCTAATTTCCAAGGTATATTCAAAATTAATAATAGGTTAATATGTATGGGGTAATATAGTCTATGTTTCTAGTTCATATTTTCAATTAATATATAAAGTACCTCAATAACAACTGTGTGGATTACCAAGACATCCAAGGTCCTCAGAGGATGATTCCGACTTTTCTTCTACTCTTTCATATATCCTGTGAAATACCTTAACATTTTCTATATGGTTTGGCACAAATTGTATTGTAAGTTTGGAAAAGTGTGTCCAAACATTTGACTGGTGGAGTGTCCGAATAACTTTGGAGATCCTCTGGCTTTTCCTCTAATTTCCCCAGAAGGTGGATTTTTTTTCAGTAGAAATGCAACTATTGGATGGATTAACATGAAATTTGGTACAAATCATGTCTCCAGGATAAACTGTAACCATGTTGGTGACCTACATTACACCTTTGCCAATCAGCTAATGTTAGCATGCTAACATGCTAAACTAAGAGTCTGATAATAGTAAACATGCATCTGCTTGTCATTAGAGTGTTAGCAGCAACTCAAAACACCTCTGTGCCTAAGTACAGTCTCCAGAGCTGTTACCATGGCTGTAGACTCTTAGTCATGTTGTAAGTTTCTAACACAGCTCGGCAGGTGTACAGAGATGTGAGATTAAGAAGGGTTGAATACACTTTTTGTCTTTAACCAAGCACAAGGGGAGCCCATGGAAAAGTGTGCATTGTTATTCTTATCTGTATGATTTGTTGATTCTCACTCCTCTTCATGACTTTAAGCTTTTTGAGCTACCTTTCAAAGCAGTTGGAAACACTTTTGCTTGTAGACATGGCTGGGCGACATGCTGCATACACAACCTTTTGGCATAGACTTTGGTCTCTAGGAACTGGGTTTAATCACACTTGAAACAAGGATTCTCCAGTTTTTTCTTACGATTTTCAGTGAAAAACATTACACCACCTTATTAAGAAAGTTGAAGTTTGTTTTGCAACAAAGGGCTTTTTGTGTTTGAAATGGTCTTTATTTTAATAAGATTATCACCTGTCTGCTCTCTCTTGTGTTACTGTGTTCTACACAGATTTGCTGGTGCCAGTACCGAAGCCTCCACAGCCAATCGCATCATACCAGCGAACACTCCAATCTAATCTTCAGAACTGTTTTATGTGTATAAAAGAAGGAATGTCAGATATGGAGGATAAGAAACTTCTGGATGAAGTCTACACAGAGCTCTACATCACAGATGGAGGCGACATGCAAATTAACAGGCAACATGAAGTCAGGCAGCTTGAGGAGGCATCAAAGAAGCGAGTTAGAACAGAGACAGCAATCAAACCCAGTGAAATCTTCAAACACCCTTCAGGGAAATACAGACCCATAAGGACAGTGCTAACCAACGGGATCGCAGGAATTGGGAAAACATTTCTTGTGCACAAGTTCATCCTAGACTGGGCTGAAGGAAGAACCAATCATGATCTGCATCTTGTGTTCCCCTTCACCTTCCGCCAGCTGAATTTACTGAGGGGTAAAAAGTTTTGTCTTGCCAAGCTCATTCACAAATGCATCAAGGAAACCAAAGACATCCAAGAGGAGACTCTTAATTACATTTTCACAGTGCTACAGATGTCAGGAAACACCAACTACGATAAGAGTAAATTTAAACTTCTGTTTGTGTTCGATGGACTAGATGAGAACCGTCTTCAACTAGACTTCACCGCCAAAGAAAAAAAGGCTACTGATGTGACAAAATCGAGGGGGGTAGAAGGACTAATAATGAGCCTCATTAATGGGACTATGCTTCCCTCTGCTCGTCTCTGGATAACCACACGACCTGCAGCAGCCAATCAGATCTCTCTAGACTTTGTCGACATGGTATCAGAGGTGAGAGGATTCACTGACCCACAGAAGTACGAGTACTTCACCAAGAGATTTAGTCATGATGAGCATACTGCCAGAATCATTTCCCACATTAAGGCATCACAAAGTCTTCACATCATGTGCCACATCCCAGTCTTCTGTTGGATCACGGCTGTGGTGCTGGAAGATGTGCTGAAAACCAGTGATCGAGCAGAGCTGCCCAAGAACCTGACTGAGATGTACACAGAATTCCTGGCTTTTCAGATGAGACAGGCAAAAGAGAAGTATGGTGCAAAAAAGAGCATTCGGTACATCCAGTCACTCGCAAAACTGGCTTTCAACCAGCTGGAGAAGGGAAACCTAATTTTTTATGAGAAAGACCTAAAAGACAGTGGAATTGATCTTGAAGAAGCTTCTCTGTACTCTGGGGTGTTCACACAGATCTTTAAAAAAGAGTGCTTGAGGAAGAAGGACAAGGATAAGGGAAGGATGTTCAGTTTTGTCCATCTGACCATTCAGGAGTTTCTGGCTGCTTTTTATGTGGAGCTTTCGCTTATGAACAGCAACAAGAATGTGATGGTTCAGTCGCAACCAAAGTCTGAAAGTCTGGGGAGGCTTTTCTCCAAAATATCTGAAACAGAGGTCCACAGAATTGCTATTGACAAGGCCTTATATAATCAAGAGGGACACTTGGACTTGTTCCTTCGTTTCCTGTTGGGCCTGTCATTGCAGACCAATAAAGAGCTTCTGGCAGACTTATTTAAACAGAAAACAACAAGCTCCTGCAGCAATCAGGAAACAATCCAGTACATCAAAATGAAGCTCAAAGAATGTTTGTATTCAGAAAGAGGCATCAACCTGTTACACTGTTTGAACGAGCTGAATGATCATTCTGTAGAGGAAGAAGTACAACAGTACTTGAGTTCTGGAAGTATTTCTAAAAAATATCTGTCTCCCGCTCAGTGGTCAGCTCTGGTCTTCATCTTACTCTCATCGGAAAGAGATCATGATGTGTTTGACCTGAAGAAATGCCATGGCTCGGAGGAAGGTTTTCACAGACTGCTGCCAGTGTTTCAGGCCTCTGTTACATACCTGTAGGTAGATGTATTACAAGATTTATTGTTAGATTTATTACAATGATAATATCAAATGTTGCATTTTATGGAAAAAAAATGAAAGTTTGTTCAAAAGTCTTGTCCTCCTCTTTTCATTTTTATCAGGCTGAGTGGCTGTGATCTGCATGAAGGAAGCTTTGAAGTTCTGGCCTCAGTTCTCAGCTCCAAACAATCTAATCTGAGAGAACTGGACTTGAGCAACAACAACCCTGATGATGAAGGAGTGATAAAGCTCTGTGAAGGACTGGAAAATCCTCACTGCAAACTGGAATCACTCAAGTCAGCTCATTTTATTTCACTGTGGTTTCAAAAAAAAAGAAAAAGAATCTAATGTTGCCATGACTGACTTCCTTGCATTTTATTCAGTCTGTTTGCTGCTTTTGTATTTGTTGTGGCGAGCCCATATTAGGGCTGTAAGGGTGCAAACAAATCACAGTTCGGTTCATTTTTGGTACAGCACGAGAAAATGCATGTCATAAAATTGCTTGTGTCGGTTATTATAAACTTTTTATACAAGAATAAAATAGAATAAAAAATACAATGCTGCTGCAGACTACTACTAATAGGGGTTCCAATAACAAGGGAAAGGCTGTTGAAACAATGAAGGAGGCAGCGTTTCTGCTACGCTCGTTTTTCCCTTGTAGCAGTGATTTTTCGCATTGACATGGTGCCTTTTCAAATTAGTTAACAAGTTTGACATGTTGCTAAAACCATACCGGACCACCACTGCACAGTTTACCATATTAAGGTAATTTGAGTGTGTGTTATTGTGCCCTTGTCCACCACTTAATATGTTCGTAAGGGAATGCAGATTTGAATAAAACTTTCCGCACGCAAAAGCCTACTGCTAAAGATCCCCATGTATTTGGAAAACTCTTTGTTTTCATCACCTTTTTTAGGCTGAGGGACTGTAACCTCTCAGAGAGAAGCTGTGAAGCTCTGGCATCAGTTCTCAGCTCCGGGTCCTCTAAACTGCAAGAGATGGACCTGAGTAACAACAACATACAGGATACCGGAGCAAAGCTGCTCTCTGCTGGACTTGAGAGTCAGTACTGCAAACTGGAATCTCTCAGGTCAGAGTCCAATGCTGTGAGCACTATAACGAAGAATGGTTAATTTAAGAAAACAATTAAGTTCAGAAGGATTCACACTAATTTGTAATTTGTTCTAATTAACCTGAACTAACCTACTTAACCCAACTGTAGAATGATATGTTCATTAATTCTGTTCATAATGGAATAATTTATTGCAGGACTATTGTACAAGACTGAATTTGTTATAGCCAGGTCTACCTAACAGACTGCCATCTGAGTATATTTACTATTTCTCTGTTTTCATTTTGGAACAGCAGTTGGATTTATAATAAAATATAACAAATCTACCACAAACACATTCAGCCCCACTGTTGTGTGATAGTAGCAACATGGATAGATATTTTAAGATCTGGTAAAATACAGCAAAAAATACATTTCAAAGCACATTAGATTTTTTCCCATTTGGATCAACTGACCCTTTAATATCATAGTGAGCTACAGCACCACAGCAAAGCAGAAACAGATTCATGCCATCATTTTTAATAATAGTTTTAACTTATCAGAAATGGCAATGTCCAATTTTCATCTATTTCCATGTTCTTTAAGGCTGAATGTGTGCAACCTGTCATGGCTGAGCTGTGAAGGACTGGCCTCAGTTCTCAGCTTACAGTCATCTTGTCTGAAAGAGCTGGACCTGAGTAATAATGACCTGCAGGATTCAGGAGTTAAGATACTCTCCACTGGACTGGAGAGTCCACATTGTAGACTGGAAACCCTCAGGTTAGAATTTTTGAATTCATAAATGGTAAAAAATTGTGGTGAAAATGGGCAAAAACAAAATCATAACCGTGTGTGCGGGTGTGTAGGCTGTCAGGTTGTCTGGTCACAGAGGAAGGCTGTTCTTTTCTGGCCTCAGCTCTGAGCTCCAACCCGTCCTATCTAAGAGAGCTGGACCTGAGCTACAATCATCCAGGAGACTTGGGAGTGATGGTCCTGTCTGCTGGACTGAAAGATCCACAGTGGAGACTGGACACTCTCAGGTATGGAAAGCCAACAGCTGGGGCAGCTGACAGATCACACATATGGTCTGTAAGTCCTTCATTGATAAAGTAATAAATTGTTTCAATCCTATCTTTTTCAAGGGTTGAACCTGGTGGAGAGTGCTGGCTGAAATCTGGTCTGAAGAAGTGTAGGTTTCTTTTTAGTTGTATAGATCACATTTAAGTCTCCTGAAAGTTCATGAATGATATGTTCATAGGTCATACATAAACAGTAAAAAGCAGTGGTGGGAAGTAACTGCTTACTGCTTACTCTGTACTTTGAGTATTTAGATTTTTTGCTACTTCATATTTTGACCTTATTGCATTTTAGAGACAAATGTTGTACTTTTACTCCACTAGATTTATTTTCTAACTTTAGTTACTAGCTACTTTTCAGAACCAGATTAATACAAAAATTACAGAGTAATTATAAGACTTCACTGAGCTCTGGTGGAAAATTAACAAGCTACCCAGCAGTATGCAAAGTACTTCAAATTATAAACCTATACCTGTACTTCCACCACTGGTAACAGAAAACAGCTGCTTGTATGCTGACTGGTTCTCTCTGTCAGATGCCTGTGAACTCACACTGGACCCAAACACAGCACACAGAGTCCTCATCCTGTCTGACGGAAACAGAAGAGTGACACGAGGGAGCGAGGAGCAGCCATATCCAGTTCATTCTGAGAGATTTGATGGCTGTTATCAGGTGCTGTGTAAAAAGGGTCTGACCGGTCGTTGTTACTGGGAAGTGGAGTGGGATGGAAGGATTCTGGTTGCAGTGACTTACAGAGGAATCAGCAGAAGCGGAGAAGGTGCTGACTGCTGTCTTGGACAGAATGAAAAGTCCTGGATTTTGGAGTGCCATAATGATGGCTACGGTATTTTGCATAACAACACTGGACTTACCCCGTGGTACCACCCTACTGATTCCACCAGAATAGCAGTGTATCTGGACTGGCCTGCTGGTACTCTGTCTTTCTACAGGGTCTCCTCTGACACACCAACTGACACACTGACTCACCTACACACCTTCTACTCAAGGTTCACCGAACCCCTCTATCCTGGCTTCTGGATTGGATTAGAGTGCTCACTATCCCTGTAGAGGAAATGACTACACAAGAACACCGACATGGCTGGTGAATAGTAGTCTGATGAAGAATGGTGTAGGTCCGGAGGTAACAGTTCCGTGTGCGCAGTGATAGTCCAGATAAAAGGGGTGAAGGCAATAAAGGGCAAGGCTTAGTTGGAGCAGGAACAAAACAAAGCAGGTTAACAACAAGACAGGTATCAAACAGGGAGACTGTTTGATACCTCCAGCAGAGCAGAGCAGAGGGTGAAAGCAGAGCGAGAGAGCAGAAGGTCTCAGGAGTCTGACAGGTTGTTTCTAGAACGACAAAAACAAAAAGCTCAGAGGATCAGGGAAAACAACATGATGGTTCGCCGCATCAATGAGACCATCGTGGAGGAAAAATTAAGGCATGAGGAACAGCTTAAAGTGGAGGAATATGAGGCTGAGCTGAAGAATATAGCACAGACTGCTGAGAGAACGAAGCAGCTCCAGCAGTACACTCAGGACGAAATTAATATTACTTAACAGTGAATATAATTGCTTTTGGAAGTTTGTATGTATTTTCTTTTCATGACAAAGCAACAGTACACAATAAAAATCCTTTACTTGGATCAAAACACTTCCCTGTTTTATGATTTTCAAGTGGTTTGCAGCCATATTCATTATGTTACA